CAGAAGTTACCTAGTATAGGCATAGGAGTGTGTGATATAAGAACTCATCAGATCTATGTCGTAGTCAAGACACCTACCTAGTTTTCACCAATATTAAACGTCTTGAGCTTTTTTTAGAAATTAAAAAAAGACAGACGGTAACAGACTATATACCAGATCCACCGATGCACTGATGCGCGTCATTCTGAACTTGGTTTTTCTTGGTTTTATTGATAGAACAATCCTACTACATTCAGTGCATGTCAATGATTAACATGTCAATGATCAACGCATGATTTATTGTAATGCCATCACAGAGTGAGAAAACGCCAAAATTACCTGCCTTTCTTGAAGGAAGAGATGCTGCGTCACACCTGACATAGAATCTTACAAATCTTACAAACACCTAACGAAAATCTAAGTATCACACTCTAACTAATACTATCACGGCTGAACAATAGAAAACGAACAAGTCAGAGATGTGTATTCTTATATACAATGAAAGAGTTCTCGAAAGTAAGTAGTTTGTACAACGGTAGTTGTGAGTCGACTAGACCAAGTAACAGCAACAACAGTGTAGTCGTCATTTGAATGAAGTAGATCACACATTAGATATCACAGAAGAGTTTGAGCAGTAAAGTAGAAAATTAAAAGTCTGAAACACTGCGAGCAATCGGTTGCGCATTAGAACCATTTCTTTTGCCTCTTTCAAACTTGAAAACAACAGAAAATATTTCTCCGCCCATGCGATCAGCCAACCACTGAGTTTTGATGACAGCAGCCTGGGAAAGGGTACTTTGCGTGGATGAAAAGCAATTATTGCGTCTGGTACCCCTATCGAAAAATAAAACACGGAAATATACCTTCAGCGAATCACACAAAAAATGAGCGTATAGATTGGTATGCAAAGCACGACCCATTCCTTCAATCACTATGAGATCCACTTTTTCTTCCAGAACGCGCCGATTGAGGGTAGAATGTACCCTTCTTAATGTCTACATGATAAATTCTGGATGTTCACATAAAATGCTTATTGACCACTAACCTCAAATCTAAGCAAGGCGATCCTTGACCACTATGCTCGAACATTAACAGCTCCTTATCGATAGCATCTCGCAAAAACGGGTCAGCCTTCCGTAGCAGAGGCACCATTCCTATCATTTCACCATAAGTTAGGTCGTTGAGTGCTGGCGACAGATTCGAGATGATTATGACCTCAAATATAAAACATATGTAACGATGCAAACAGGGAACAAAATTTTGAATTCTAGTTTCAAACCCACCTTTGTGCCACGTCTGATGAGTTCTCTAGTAAAAGGAATAACGCCTAGGACAAAATCAGCGCCACTATTGTCCACAAATATAGCAGCGCAGTTATATGGCTTCTGGTCCAAAGATTTCGCGAATTCGTCGTACGTGTCAATGAGCCATGGTCTTTCTAAATGATGCACAATAGAATATGCAGTACATTGAATAAACTGTATTGAAGCAACTGCATCGATCTCAATGGGAAAAAATCAGTTTACCAGGAATGGAAGCGACCGCAACATTGAATGGTAGACCTTCGGCAGACTCCATAATTTCCACAACTTTCTCCGCGCCCCAATCAAAAACATTCCCAGCTAGCAGTCCTTTTGAAACTCGAAAAAGACGTTCAGAAC